CTGTTTCTATTTTATTTTTTTATTATTTTTACTTTTAGTTTATCACCTTTAAAGTTGCTTGTGCTGTTGTCTAATACTATTTAGTGTTGTTGTTTTCTTTTTTTTTAGAAATTGATGACAGCTTTTTGAGGTTTACAGCGCGCACATTTGACACCGCGGGTCGCCATAAGCTGGCCAGCAATTCGAAGATTTCATGCAGATCTGATTTCATAATCAAATAATTGATCTTAATGAGTTGCGAGCAGCTGGCACAGCCGAAGCTAGCTCAAATTGTGTCTGTCAGCTGCTCAAAGCCTTTTTTACTTCTTGATCCAATCAAACTTGAAGCTTGAAAAATAATAATAAGAAATTGAAACAAAGGGAAAATATCGAATATTGAGTCTGAGCTTTGAATAGATTTTGGCACCTCACACAAATATTTATTTTATTTCACTTTTCTGCAATTTTTTTGAGCTTGTTTCCGCTATCTTTCTACGAATTATCGTTCGAACAATCCATCAAAAATTACGAAACCCTCTGTTTAGTTTTTAGGGACTGCGAATTAGATGGACGCAGATATTTCAGCTCAGCTCGTGCCATAGAAGTAGGCACAGTGGGCCGAGAGCTGACGAACTAATATATAAAATTTTGGATAGTATAATTTGGTGTTAAATTAAACATTTTGAGTTCTTACTGAAATGAATTTTAAGATTAACATATTTTCAATTAAAGGAGAAAGTTTCTTGGTTTGGAACTTAGCAACATGTGCACTTCGGGTTGAGAAAAAAATTCTCAAAATTTAGTTGTTCACAAAAATAGTAGTGGCTAGTAAAAAGAAACTTCAAGAGCTAAGGGCTCAAATGTCTGTGTAAAAACTATTGATTAGAGCCTGCTTAATCGATGAGGCGTAAGTTGAGTGCTAGCAGGAAGTTTCTTATAAAGAAGTATGCCTAAATACAATAAAGATTTATGTAGATATTGGGAGAGTATATATCAATCAAGCAGTCAAAAACATGAAAAAAAGGCCAGCAAGAGGAGATCAGAAAAGGCACTACAGTAAAAAAAGACTCTGCAAGAGCTGATAATCTACTCTAAGCTAGTTAAGATAGGGCTGCAATTGCAAACCTGTCGCAACTTAAGCCTTAACTTTAACTATATTTTATTATACATTATTATACTTTTAACTATATTATCAACATTTTGTGCCTGCCTCCAACCACTGTCATTCTGCACATAAAAATTCCTAAGATCTCTCCACAGCCTCACATCTCGCGCAAGCTTCAGGCTGATCCTGCGTGCAGCCAATTGAGAGTGATTGATTTTTGTTGCCAACTTTTGCATTTGCAGCTGTCCAAATAGCAGAAGAGAAAGAAGAAACACGAAACAAAAACGTCCAACGGCCAACTTGACCTCCAGTCCGTCTGAGCGGCATATCAATCAAATGTGGCCAATGATATTCAAGATTTGCGAATCATTTTGGCCATTTGGCAATTGCCAGTTTTCGTTTTCATTTGCATGAATTGGCGAAAAGCATGGGGACCCCTATAAGTTGGCATTACGCTTGGCGCTTGGCTAATACTCGTCTAGTTGGCTAAGGAAATCTACGCCGTCCACGGAGATTTGCATAGAATTGAAGCGTTGCCAATCGCAGAGCTCCCACTGTGCGGCGTTTAATGAGATTTCGTTGTTGTTAAGTATTTGTTGTTATAGTTTTTGGCCCAGTTTACTTATTATTTAACATTGATCGGACGCTTGTAATTGGCATTTGAGTTTGACCCAGTCTTGAACTTGTTTCGCAACGAAATGGAAAGTGCCTGGCCCAAAAGACAACGAATCGCAATGCTCTTTAGCTAACTTTTAATTATCTTATCTCCAGGTATCTGCCTCTCTCTCTCTCCCCTCTCTCCCCTCTCCCGCCCCCCTCGCTCACCTATTTCGCTACAATTTTATGATGTATCTACGAGGTATCTGCTTTTGGTGATTGTGTATCAGAAATGCGATTCTTTGAAGGCGGCCGCCTTTGAGTCTCACTTGTTTCCATTTTATTTGATTTTTGAGAATGTGCGAATGCAAATAAATGTGTTTTGATAGATACGAAACGAATTTTGTGTAGCGAGCCGAGCGAGCGAGTTCATTTTTGGTATTGACAAATTGGCTAAGCTGAATCGTAAAAGAGTTTTGCTGCATTTTATTTACGATTTGCATATATCGACGGCAGTTGCTGACAGCCACGCCCCATCGCCCCACCGCCGCCCGCCCTCGACTGTTGGCCGGCCAACATGACGTATGAGTAATCTGATTTTTATCTATATTTAATTATTTGCGCACATATGATTGAAGCACAATGGCCAGGGCCATTAATCAGTGCAGCAGCAGCAACAGCAGCAGCCAGCGACTGGACGCCAGGTGCCCATATGCTCGATTAGTTCAATTATTCATGCAGCAAGACATACGCTATCCGCCATCCGCCATCCGCCATCCGCTATCCTCTATCCGGGGCCATATCTGGGCTATTAGCTGGCCAATTCTGTGTAAGAAAATCGTAAACTAATTTCATGTGTTAAATGCCATAAAATATGAAAGTTTTCGTCATAATCGACACTTGACGACGTCGTGGGAATTACCTTTCAGGTAAATCTGTGAAAACGGAAGAAGAAGAGGAAGCGCAAGACGCCTCCTCCCCCTCTGGGCACCCTTTAGCGCCCGACGAGTTCGTCTTTGCTATCAGCCATGGAGGAGGCATCGTCAAGAGCGCTTTGTAGTTTTGCGACCGTGTGTAAATATTTGACAACACATGCCTAATTAGTGCAGCTATTGATGGTGACAGCGGAACAACAACAACACAAGCAACAACAACAACAAGTTGTCAAAGAACAAGGCCTGGAAGTGGATATGGAATGAAACGGAACGAGCTCTGAGTGCGAGCTCGTTTACGATGTCGTTTCCTGAGAAGTGCCTCAGTCACTAGCTGACTGACTGACTGACTGATTGACTAACTGACGGGCTGTCTAGTTGGTTCTCTTATCTAAAGAGCTATTCAGCGAGGGTTCTTTTGTGGGCTTTGTTGAGTAAGGCAATGCGAATACTTATCAATGAGTAAGACTAGTAGACACACATGTAGGCAAACTGTATGACAATGTTTTCGAGCAGGTCTGCAATCAATCAGGTTAACTATTAGAACGTGCACAAAGTAGATAAGTTTACTTATGTCAATTGACATAAGCATATCTTGCATACAATTTCGAGCTCTAATGGAACGCTGAATGAGGGTTGCTTTATAATTTGATAATGTGATTGGTTTTAGAGGGAAGAAAAGTGCTTTTGGTGTATTTAGCAGAGCTAAATACTTATAGATTAAATCCAATAGGAATAAGATTTATAAATTTTTACTTAAAGTATCTAATACTAAAATACTAAATACTTTTATACAGAGTATCCTCTCCTCAAATTATATTTCACATAAAGTATCTTCTAATACCTTCTTCTAATAATAGTATCTTATATCTTCTTTAAAGAGCCTTTTTAAGTGAGCGTGTCTTTCCAAGTAACTTCTATTAGAAGTATCTTTTACTAAAGCTATCTTCAATTGATATTATACACCAATTTGATCATCCCATCAAAGTATCCGAGAATTCTTATTAAAAACCAAAATATCTTCCAATGAAAATGCCTTCAATAAATGTGTTAAAAAGTAACTTATAATTAAAGTATCTGCTACGTTGTTTCAAGCAAAGCATCTTAGTGAAAACAGCAAAACTATTAACTAGATTTTCTATATTCTCAACTAAAAAGTTCTACTCGATGCTGCCTCTCACAGCCAATAGATTGAACTGAGCATTGTCTGATCAGAACATGAGATCATAAAACACACGCGTTGCTCTTTTAAAGCAATTGTTAAATATTTGCTAACGTTTGTCAATGGATGACTCTGCGGTTCGCGTCACATTTGAAGGAGGCTACCTAGCGTGGAGGTGTATGGACGGCATGCTGATTAGTGTGGCTGTGTTGAATGCCACCCAGCTGGCGCTGATGAAGCGGAGTTCAGGCGACTTCGGTCGTCTATGAGGCAGAGACAACTGCAACAACTGCGACAACACTTGGCACATTGGCACAACGTGTTGTGCACAAATATTGACCCGGAGCTTCGCAAGTAAGCGCGATTCAAACAATGGACAAACAAACGGAGCAGACCAGGCAGACGACAGAGCCAACAACAGGAACTGGCAAAGGCCGGACGAACCTGCTGGCAAACAAGAGTCAAGAACGCAGAGCCCAGCAAGAGCCAAGAGGCAAGCAACAATTTCCTTGGGGTGTGCGACTGACCGAGTTCAAAAGAGTTGACCGACTGTTTAAGAAGAGCTCAAAGTGTGGCAACAACACGAATGCGCCTTTGCTGCGCTGTGGCAAGTGATAACAAGATTTACAAATCGATTGCCGACGGCGCTTTGACAAATATTCGAGAAGTGGCCGAGCGCTCGTAAATGCGCTTTTGATGGCCCAGCAGACACCTGAGCGACCGAACACCTGGACCTGCACCTGGAGGTGTTAATCTGCGGCCGCGTGTTTGGCTCGACTGCGTGCTTATTATCACAAATGTATCCGCTCGATAATCAACTTAATTTGCTTAAACATGATTGCGTTTTATTTATAACAAAGACGTAAAATAAAACGAAGCCAGACAACAAAATCCAATTTGCTGCAAGTTTTGCATTTTGATAAGCGGAAGCATTTAAATTAACCGCGAGAAAGAGAAAGAGAGAGCAAAAGAAACAATAATAAAACATGAAAAAGAATCTTAATTAGCGCATTTGGCATAATTATAGATAGTAATTGCTTAACGGCGCATTGCCAATTTTTTATTAACAATATAAATTGAAGCCATGATTCAACCCAGCCAAAGGGGAAGTCGTAAAAAAACAAGAATCGAATTTTTGTGAAATTGTATAAAATTTTAACTGCTTAGCTTAAATGAGCTAATTGGGGAATTTGTTGGTTGCTTTCTGAATTGATTGATTTCTCACCTGCATCACCCAGTAGTTGTTGCTGGCGACAAATTGATCACCAATTATAATATCCGTATGCATTTAAGCAGAATTCTTTGCATCAATCTAAGGCTGACTTATATAAATATATCTATCTATATCTATATATAGATTGTAGACTTTATTGGTAAGAGTTGACCATGCTAGACGTTTAGCACTTGTTTCAATATTTATTTTATTTTCTTCTCGCTTCTAGGTCACAAGTCACAGACAAGTTCAAGGCACATTAATTATTAACAATTTATTTTATTTATTTTTGTGAATTTTATTTGCATGGCACTTGACAGAGCAAAGACTGACGCAGCTCTTCAAAATTATACATATATTTTCTTTCTTTTAATTTTTTACAATTTCTTCGCAATTGATTTTATTCATTTGCAAGGATATGCAAATTGTAAGCACACACATAAACACACACTCACGCGCACACAGTTATGTATGCGCATACACACTCACTGAATGGCTTTTATTTGTGCCTCAATTGACAATCATTCGGCTGCTGTTTCAAAATTCCCGTTTCAAGCACATCCTTTGCCCTAAAAAGCTCAGGCAACAACAGCAAACGCCGGCGGCTTTTTTTCACTTCCGCGTTTCGATTTGTGCTCGACTTCACTTTTATCTATTTTTAGAAATAGTTGTTGCTGTACTTAAATGCATTTGCAATTGTTTAATGGAACGCAATGTCTACTGCGGCGCGCTGCACTCGAAAATTGATTTGAATAAAATTTTAGTTTTTGTTTTTGTTTTCGAAAAAACGCTGAACCGAGCGCTCGGCGCCGTTGTTGTCTCTTCGCTGGCGGGAACCGAGTTCGTACTGATTGGACGAGCGAAGGTTTCGCGCAGACGAACCTCGCCAGTCAGCTAGCGGGCCAGACGTACACACACACACGAGCACACACACACACAGACTTGGAGTCATGTATGCTTGGCTAACCAGACTCAGAGACTCTCCCCCGCTCTGCCAGTCTGTCTGTGCTGTCGCTGTCAGTCGTGCTGAGCTGAGCCGAGCCGAGCGCTGCCCCTGCCTCCCGACTTATACTGCTCTTCTACTACTACTGCTCTGCCTCGGCCTCTGCTCACTCCCTCTCTCTCACTCTATAACTCTGTGGCTCTGTCGCCTGCTGTTCAGTGAGTTTATAGCTTGCTTAACGCTTGTTGTTTGTTGTTTTTACCACTTTACGCTCGCGACCAGATGTTCTCGCTTAGATCGTGACGCGCTCTTATACGCCACAACTTATACAGCGCTCTCTCCCTCGGCTCAGCTGTGCGCCAAACAGATCTTATTGGCGTGTATAAGAGCGTGGGTTCTACTTGACGATTTTGCTTCGATTCGCCATTTTAGTTTGAAACGTCATGTTGAGACGGCATTTGCAAGCGTCTTAATCGGATTATATTTATTTAAATTATGCAATATGAGCAATATATTGTATTTAAAATAAATATATATGTATGTAAGTGTTGAACTATATTTTAATATGCATTCGCATAGCCAGCAGATCGTAAATTGTAATCGGATACTGAGAAATTCGAGCTGAAGCGAATGTTACCTGAACTAGATTTGAAATGATTTTATGTTTAATGTAATAAAATATATAGCTTGAAAATGATATAATAATCAGTTGTATAACAACAAATATAATTTATGCAAATATATGTAAATCATTTGAGGCAATAAAAAATATTATGAATTTGGCTGAATTTACATAATGTTGATAATCATTTGCATTCACATATATTTCTATATGTAATCTAGTTACATGTGATGATATGAGTATATATATATATATATATATATATATATGGCATAATTTTATAGCCTCTTCTTTTTCTTTTCGCAGCGTGAGCATAAAATATAATGTAATAAAATAAAATCGTAAATTTACTAGCCAAGCTAAAAGAGCATATACCCGAAAATAAAATCAATAAACATGCTACTATGCATATATATATACATATATATTTATATATATGTATATATTTATATATCCAAGTATATATATCCAGTGGTTGCTGGCAATTCGCTGTAAACGTAGCACTGGGCATAAAATTATTCCAACGCACGCCACAAACATAAAAGCCATTTTCATTTTGACCAAAACGGAACCAAATGGCAGCAGCCCCCAACCAGCAGTGACCCCAACCCCAACCCCAACCCCAGCTCCTACGCTGACCAGAAGAAGGGGCTGCTCGCTTGAGTTCGAATTTGTTTGCGGGCTGGGGCTGAGGTTGGGCGGGCGACACGCGACGCTTGTCTAAACATGGGGGCCACAAGACGGCAGTCAATAGAGGTGTGGCCTCAATGGCAGCGGCGCAGTCGCCGCGTCCAGCCAATCAGCGCGTCGAGCATGCCAGCCAGAGAGCGAGAGCGAGCAAGAGTGCGCGCGAGAGAGCAATAGCTAGCGCTGCGGTTAGTTTTGCGTGTGCAGTGGCAGCAGCAGCAACAGCAAAAAACATGACAACAAAATGAAAATTGAAGTCAAGCGAAAACAAAACGAACAACAACAACACATGACACGCAGGTGAAGTAGCAGACGGCGGCTGACTAGTTGAGATACAAATGTACCTCAGACCGTGTTCGTTGCTGTACGTTAGTTACTAACTCACACACATGACTGAGTGTGTGTGTGTGTGTGTGTGTATAGCTGCCTGTCTGTCTATTGATAATTGACTGCCGTTGCGGGCACTTCACTCACTCATTGTCTACCTATCTGTCTATCCCTCTCTCGCTCTCCCTCTCCCTCTCTCTCTCTCTCTCTCTAGCTGTCTCTCTGTCCTTCTGTATGCTTTTTCGTATTTACCTCGTGCAAATTTGCCATTAATGCCACAACAGACGCTATACACACACACACACACTCGCACACACCTGAGCTACAAATGTATCTGCCTTTGACAATGTCAGTTGCGTGTAGTTGTTCTTTCTTTGTTGTATTCCATGTCAGTTGGCTTTGTTTGCCACAGCTCGCTGCCTCACTTACGCTCTATCCTCGATATCTACCTCATATATGTGAGCAACTATCGCTGGACTAGCACAGATTGGCATCAGACTAGCTGAAAGCAATTTCAGCTAAGTTCTAATGCAAATAAAATATGCTTAATCGAATTAACTTTTACATACTTGATCATAAATTGACTTGTCATGGATTTACTTAACATGAATTCACTTATCTTGGAATACTCTATATACTTGAGTCCTGGTCAACTTCTAAAAGCTTATGTTCGTCAAGCTTTCATTAGCTAATCAAATCCAAGGCTACTTCCAAGACTTTTAGCCATGTTTTCATTTCACATAAATGATCAACTTCATAAAGCCTTTTCTAGTTACATAACTTCCCTTGCTTTATCCGATACTCAGCCGTTGCTGCTGCTTAATTGTACTGGCTATCGCTTGGTTATATCAACGAACCTTTGGGCACATAAGTTCCTGCTTACCCTTGGCCTGGCTTTCATTAATAATATCGAACTGTTCTTTTGTTCACTCCTTTTCCGATCACAAATGTATCAATATTAGCGCTCTTATGTCACAGTTTCTCAGAGCCACAATTAATATACAAATTCCTTGTAATCCACGCCCGCAATCCTCTGGCCAATGTCGTTCACTGATTTTCTCAATGCGATATCTGTGGGATTTATGGATGCGCAGCCCCTACCCTCGGCTCCCTTCACGCACACACACACACACACACTCACAGACACTCAGTGTCAACTCACCCCCTTAGGGGACAAAGTACCTGTTGTTCACTCTGAGCACTGCAGTTCGCTTGCAGTGTGACCTTATCGTTCAAGTCGCATGATTAATTACACATTCGACTGTCCCAAAAGGCTCCCGTTGCCCTTGGCCATGCCCGTGTCCATTCCCATTCGTTTCGGCTGAAACTGTGGCCAAAATATTGTCACGCTTCGAGGCGGGCCGCAAACGCTGCCGCAACTCTCCGAGGAATACGAAAACTCTTGCTCCGGCTTGATTGATTCCACTTGGCGGCACTTGTTGATAAAAACCAAAAAGTAAAGGACAACGACAACATTTTTCGTATTCAAGAAATCGAAAAATTGGTTTCGATTGTCGCCCCACTCGAAGATTACGCGGCAATTTGTTTTGTGCCACGATTTTTCTCAAGAATCGATTATTTACACTCGCATCTTCTATGGAAAGCACTCGCAGCGATCCCCATCGAAGAAAAAGAATACATTTGTTTGCATAACGCACTTTAATTGAATTCTCAATGGAATCGAAGTTCGGATTCAAGCTAAGTGCAGCTAGATGGCGAGAGATAGTTCAGCAGAGAACTATCTGTGGAGAAAACTAGACAAAGATGTATCTGAAAATGTAACTAGAGAAATTTAAGCAGAGATTTGTAATTGATATGAAACTATGGACAGCCACCTATGGATAGATCAACCTATAAATAACAAGATAGATCTATCTATAGATATCTAAATGATCTATATCTATCTATATATTCATCTACATATCCAGCTATAAATAGATCTACTTATAAGCAGCTAGCCATAGATCTAGCTATGATAAGGTTGCTATAAAGATATTGCCACAGATCTGCGTTCGTAGACATGACAGCTACAGTATCTGTTAGAACTGCTTGGGCATGTGAATGTGGATGAGGTAATATTTGGCTAGGCATATCTAAGGAATAATTCCAAGAAGTATCCATATAAAGATATCTAACTATGTATAGATTTATAGCCAGATTTCTTTTTACAATCTGTATAAAACAATGGAGATACCTTGTTATGCAGATAAACAGATAGAACCATTTATGATGATATCTATAGATTTAATGCTTTTTATCTATCTTTGAAGATATCTTAAGATACTTCGATTAACTTGTGTATAAAGAAACAATTCTGCAAAGATATAAATGAAGGTATATCTATCTTTGACTGTATCTAAAGGTATTTGGCAGTAGATCTGTCTGCAGAGCTAGATAAATAGAGATAGTTATATGTAGATCTAAATGAAGCTAGTTAGCCCGCTCTGTATCTTTAAAGGTAACTTGAGAGGGAATAGAGCTCCATTCATATATATTTATCCAAGTATCTTGAGTTAGTTAGCTAAAGAAACAACTGGAGATAGCTAAAGACTTAGATTTAGTTTAGTCCTACATCTAATCTCTCCAAGAAGACACTTAGATACATTTAGCCATATAGCTATCTCCCTCAAGACATTTGCTTATGCATAGATCTGTGTCTGCAGTTATCAGTAGACAGTCGTAGATCATTGCATGGAGACAAAATAATTTGGGCATAGATAGCGACAATTAGCATTAACCCCAATTGCAGCT